CAGAGGACGGTGTCTACTTCTTTAAATGGAAGTTATTTCAGCCAGGAAATCAACAGTTTACGTAGAGGCAGTGGTAGATGGCGCAAGGAAGGCATCAACTAGTGTGAATGATGAACAAAGTTACCATGTCAGTACCTCAGGTCATTTACTTTATGAACTGAAGAGAGGAAACAAAGTCTGGTTCAGAACATTCCATGTGACGGCTGGATACATGCATGCTAACAAGTACACTTACTTCTCGGGATATAGGATAAACTATATCTAGAAAGCAAGGAAGAACATCTATAAAAAATGTGAATTAAATGTTTCAGAATAAACTGTTTGAATTTTGAACTGGTTCTAAAATTAAGTATAAAACTAAATTACATAATCGTGGAATCAATTTTAGCTTACCTTAATGAATACATGTATATGTACCTGTATAAACATTGAATTTGCACCAATAACTTGAAAAACTCAACCATGTTTGGATTTGAGAACAGAAAGTAATATGGTAACCTCCTTTGAATCAGAAAAGAAAACAAAGTTTCAGTGAAGAAAGCCACTGAGAACACATTTCTTTGAAGGTCCTCTCATGGTTTTCATATAGCATGATGAAATGCCATGAAGAACTCAAACAAATACACACAAAAATAAACATTTTATATTTGTTACAGTACTAGTGTTCATATAAATGACTTAAAATGTATTGCCTTTAACCTGATGGCATGAAAAATGAAAAGGATCAGCACCATACCATATCATTCGAACCGTTATTAAGTCAAATCAAATTGTGATGTAAAACAACAGAGTTATATTCTGTAATGTAAAAATTAATACTACACAGACAGACAGATACAAAAAGACCCTAGAGTTGATACCCTTATAAAACTAATTTATTTACTAATCATGTAAATGCATTATTTGTCCTCAGTGTGAAGGTGACTATTTACGATCGAATATGCATATGGCAAACAAATAGACAATTATAGACAATAGACAATACGCTTGTTTAATTATGAGTTCACAACGGAAAATAAATATAACTAGATACAGTTAAATTTTTGCCCCCCTTGCATTTTCGCCCCTTTCATCTTCGCTGCAAATGGGCGAATTTAAAACGGGATGATCCAAAGAAGACAGCATAATCTCTTTAACATTACTGTACCTAAGCTAATAATTCAAAGCAGGACAAAATTGGCTGGAAGTGTTAAAGTGCAAAAATAACATGTGCGAAAATATCCCTTAATATATGTATTACTCCCAAAGCGTGGACAGTAAAATGTGGTGTATGGATGTCAAATTTGGGATCAATACACACAACTCATAGAACAAACGCTTTGAAGCACATTTTTCATATAGGCCATCAAGACATGAACCTGGTCTTGAGATATAATCTTGTGTCAAACCAAGAATTCGCATTTCAGTAATACGCAATAATGTACCAAAGTTTGAATTCATTCCGAAAAAAGTTTTGAAGGTTAAAGATCAGAAATAATTCAAACGTTTCATTTCCCAGTGACCTTGTCCTACAAGTCATGACCTTATGACCTTGACTACTCTAAGGTCATGGGTGTCGAAACAGATTGTACATGTACCTATCTGTGTATAAATGTTGTTCTGAACTGGAGCTTGCGTCTCCCTTCTCAATTTATAATACATGCTGGCTGTTGACAAATAAATTGATGATATAAGGATATAACTAATCTCGTTTAAAGTTAACATTTCACAGATTCTATGGTCGATACAATGACTTTGTTTGCAAATACAATCTTTCGATAAATCAAATGTCGACTGACGTCTTTCGAACAAATTGTTAGGTCATTATTTTCACACTAAATTCTCTACGGATATTTCCGTACACACGCAGATGATAAAGGGCACTCAGCAATGCGATTCATGCGCCAAGACTGCATTTGTAATCAACAGAGTAGTTATATCAACACGCATGTCTTCCTTACTCCTCGAACTTAAGAAAGGAAACAATGTGTGGATTAGAGTTTTTCATACACCAGCAACATTATACACAGCGGCTTCTATAGCTACTTCTCGGTAGGTAGAATAAATTTCTGCTATAAACATAGAAAATAAACTTTATTTTGATTTAGTAAAGCTACATGACAATTCATTAACGCCTTTACATAATTACAGAGCAGGGAGAGGGAAACCGACATAGGTATTAAATACAGCACACGTGAATTGGAAATTACTGGTGAAATATAATACAAAGGATTAAATTGACGGTATTTACTTTACAAGCAACACAAACACCGACTACTGAATAATTTAATCACTTGTTTATGTTACTTAACTGAAAACAATAAATATAATACAAAAAAGGAAACCATATGCTATTATAGATTATGCACTTTTTACTCTCAAATTGAAATAATGCTGGCCGTTATCAATATTTCCTCAATACATTTCCTGTTACTGATTCCAATTTTAGTATCAGAATAGAAAAAAAATGCAATACTTTTAACGATATTTATTTCATTTTCTGATAGAGTGTTAAAGGAAACATTTTTAATAAAATTGGATCTAAAAAAAAAAAAAACTTGAATAAAGATATTGTATCGAAATAATGAAAATAGGAACGATAAATACACCATCTGCATTTTCTGAAGAAATACAGAACAGTTATATTAGTTAAAGAGTTATTGAAAATTAAAAGTGCTTTAGAATTATGTTATTTTTATTGCAATTTGTATCGGTAACGATCCTTTAATAAAAATTATGTCCAGATAGCTGTATCTCAATTCCGTTCCCAATGACCTTGAAGTGTAGGGCAGCGCTGTGATAATTCCATCGGCATCAAAAACAAGATTTCTGACTGCCCGAGATAACCGCTGTACCTGCACTTCTAGGAGGCATTCATCAGGTCGAGAGTTCAGCTCCGGACTTGGGCGGGAGTTTACATGAAGTAATTGCTAATAATGCAATGTCGTGTCCCGAGGTTAACGGCTTTAATATCCATTATCATATAATAAAAATACCAGAGCCCACATATATAATGACAGCAGCAGGTGCACGGATAAACTATGCAATTAATCCATGAGACATTGAAGCATGATTTGTAAGAGAGACTCGAAAAAAATGAAAAAAAGATAAATGAACAAATAAAATTTTAAGTCACAATGAATTAATATTAAGCAAATTTAAACAAAGTGATATAAACATTTACCTAAATTCTTCAACATTTCAATGATGAAAGAAACAAAGAGACATAAGAAAACCATGATGACTAATCTTTACGACAGCGCTAGCATAGGTGTACATTTGGATTTAAGATCAATTTAGTGCATATTTTGTCGTAGAAATTTCTTTATCGTATTTTAACATCTGTTTTAATTGTGCATGTCAATTTAAATCGTATTCTACAAATTAAATTGGTTAGAATATAAGTGGAATATAATATACATAAAAACATGTTTTTAACGAAGTGTTAGGGACGGACGATATTGCTTCGTAATAATTATAAGCGAAAATCCTTATATCAATTAAGTTTACAATGTGTAACGAAAGAATCATTTCGCTGTAAACGAAAATTCATTATTAGCATGTTCGCTATTGGTGTGTTTTAATGGAAACACCACAATTGCAAAAAATCTGAACACCAAAGTTATTTCAAGGAGAATTTCGGTTGAAATGTTTAATCAAAGTATAAATGAATTACTCCTTTTGACATAAATATGCTTAATCCCTATTTCAAGTAAGTCGGTAAAAAATAGGTAGCAAAGATTTCTTCACCAAAACCTCGCGATCGGTACTTTGAAATGAAAGTTTAGGATCTTCCAAGTGAGTCCTTTAAAACTGATGCCCCGTGTCACGGTAGGCATTGAGTCGAGAAAGATACCCCAATATTCATTGGCCCTGTGTCCCGAGTATAGGACTAAATTTGAAGCCGTTCATCTGTATATGGTGACGTCTCTATATGAGTGAACATTTCTTAAATGGGACGTACATGTAAAACAACAAACAAACAAACAAACAATCACCTAATATATGCGTAATTTAATGGGTGTATTAACACCTTAGATTATTCGCTAGCATTATTCTGATTGACAATTTTGAGTTTTTTCCCGAAATTATTTAGCCTAAAAAATTATGCAATCAAATCTCGATGTAGAACACATAACATATTTTCATTTTTGTTGTATTTTTAAGATCTTTCCTGGAAGTCATTTACATATTGCATTGTGAATTGAAGTAAGGTTAATATTTTGGAATTGCTACCCTACTTTTTGAAAAAAGCATGAGAAATCGAGGACATTTTAGAACAGATACACACTAGTTCAAATATTAATGTACCATATATATTGATGCAGCTGTCGGAAGATGTAATGCCGATTCGTATGAAAAATATATCCTATTTATCATTAAGTGCAGTAACATTTTATATGATGATCAATTATCATCCAATATTTAAATGCTTTATCAGCCACTCACCAGGAGCACTGTCAAGATACATGTATATATGCGCGGATTGGGTGAGTTTTTAATAATTTTTTGATCCAATTTTAAAATTTAGGTAATGTTACTGATTGTGAGAATGAGTAGATTGTAAAAAGGAATAGCGACTCATCAATCACATTTTTCAATGTCTTTTATATTCCAAGAATAACATATTTGTTGATGATTTAAAATTGTTTTCAAATTACATTAAAACATTCATATCACAATATAATTATCGTGTTAAAGGACACACACTTTAAATAGAGAATTAATGTATTCATGTATGAATGATTAAATCGCTGATGACAACTATAGCAATGTTTGAAATCCATAAAGCTAAAATATTATTTGCAAACACGGTTCAACTTACACATCTGCTGAATTTAGATCTTTTAAAAGCACTTTTTCGGTGTTCTGATCTTGTTTCGAGGAATATGATTTGATATTATTTATGCATGAATGCACAAAAAATAATAAAACACAATAAACAGTATGATGGTAAAGTCTTATATGTTATGATCCACTGCATTATTCTTTCATTAGAAGAATTCTTACAGTATTTTTATTAGAATTATGTGGCCCTCTTTTGTTCCTGCTCTGCTGATTGTCTACGCTGTCACAATGTCCACTGTAAGAGCAGCATCTCCAGCTGAATTCATGGGAGACATGAATGGTTACAGAAGTGCTTGTAAGAAACTTGGCTGGGAGCCAAAGCAAGGTTTGTTTCAAAGCCTAACTCTTTATCTGAATTAGATACATGTGGCATTATTCGGATAATTTCATCATTTTAATAAATGTCAAATCGTAAGAAAAACTGTTTTTCTTTTACTTTTTATTTGCCTTTTAAAATGATATTCAGTGATTGTTTATTTCTGCTTAATGTAGATTGCACCGCTAACCATGTCATTGCGTTTCATGCTAATATAAAGTCTCACCTGACTGATGTCCCTGTGAACACTACTATTAAATTCAACAATGTCCAGTTAAGCAAAGGTGGAGGTTACGATCCTGAAACGGGTATCTTTACAGCACCGGAAGATGGTGTCTACTCTTTTGCGTGGTCATATCTGTCCCGACAGGGAGGGACCGTGTACACAGCCCTATCTGTAGATAATGAGGATCATGCCCTATCGTGCATAGAAAACCAGCAAACCAGATTTATCAACTCTGCGGGCCACTTGGTTTATGAACTCGTTAAGGGAAATAAAGTATGGATCAGAGTTTGGCACCTTCCTGCCACATTCATACATGGTGGATACTATACTTACTTTTCCGGAAGTAAAATAAATTCTTTTTAAAAAGAAAAAAAAAAAAACATGTAGTAATCTTTTGCATGTTTAGCAATGTACGTGTAAATAACGTATTCTCACTTTGTAAATTATTAAAGAGATTGCAAATGGTTCTGAATATAACAATTTTAAATTTGAACACTTTCACATATATATTTAACACAAATTACAAGCTTCAATTTAAAGTCAAGGCAAATGATTAGAGCAAGATCTATTTTCAAAACATTCCTTTTCCGCTGGAAATTTCGGAACTTGAAAAATGTATATATGATTCATACTTCATCCTTTGGTGTGTTTTTGATGTAATGGCAGAATTAAGAAATCGTATTTGTGTGTTTTAGCCCTAGTAAATATTCCAGCAATTCCAAAAATGGTGCTTTAAAGTATGTTAGATATCTGAATCTAAGAAATAATATTATCTTCTTAAATGTTAAGATATTGAGATATTTAACTGACATCTCGGGAAAAAAAGTATTATAATGGTACATGAATCTATGTATGGTACAAGAGCATAATGATAAATAAAAAAAAAGGATTGTAATGTATTGCATTTAAATTGCCTTTTTTTGCAAGTAGAAAAGGAGCCATCCACAATGAATGACTGTTGTAACTGTGTTGAGAGTATCGAAATCATGTTCTCAAGTACAGATCTTACATTGTTGATAAAGATCTTTAAACATGTTGTCTCTTATAGAGCCGATAAATGAAATAGCCACTTCTTTTAACCTGAGCCCTCGGTCAAGGGGTTATTAATTGAGTATCTTTAATTTGATTTATAGCAGCATAATTAATGTTATATGAATATACTTAGAAAAATGAATGGAAAAATTGATACATTCTTAAAGGCATGAAATATATGGAGATAACGAACAGTATTCAAGCTCCAAAGTCCATTAAACAATACACATTTTGGAGCAGAGCAAACACGGACTTCTAAAACATCAGAGGCGGGATCAGTTGCAATGGAGGGTGAGCATATAAGTAATTGAGTGTACATGTATATTCTGATTTACCCTCACATTTAAATTAGAAAAAAAATACCGCGTAATTAAGCTGAATTCAATCACATTTTTGTAAAGTTGACTGTATGCGTAACACCAGAAGTATATGAAAAAAAATTTAACAATGATGTTTTAACTTCTTGCGTTTTTGTAAGTTATAGGTAAAATTTTAAAGTGTTTTGTAACTGCATTTTGGTCCCCATACACTAATTCTAGATTTAAGCGCCACATAAATACCGTTATAATATTGCTGCTGTAGACAAAAGAGGTTTTTGCTTTATATATTACATATGGGCACAAAATTGAAAGTATCTACATATATTTTGTTGTCTAATTGGATGAAAACCATTTGAGTCTTTAATTAAGCACTTCTTTTCTTCAGTAGGTATTAATTTATGAGATTCTGAGCTATATCACTTAACATTTCATATTTTGACACTACATCTGATAAAGTGGATCTGGTGAAAGATTTTTTTTTAATCTCAACTCATCTGAAAGTGAAAAAATCGACAATTCATATTCTATAGAAGATATTATCCATTTGTTATTGTCAAGGATAATATATTGTGCAATTGCAATTAACGTACTAGAGGACATAGAAATAATTAATCAGGACCATGACGGGTTAAATGCGAGCTCAGTGCTTTTTTCTCCAATACTCACTACAATGTAAACGAAAGAATGTGAACTGCATATCAATTATTGTTTATTTAAAGCTTTAATTCATTAATGCATATTGTTGTTATCTTTTATTACTATAGTATGCAAAGAATAAAAATTGATTAAATGAATTCAAGATATTGCATGTAAAATCTGTTTATTTAAACGAGACTTTTGCGTGTTCGTATACATAATTATAAGTAAACGAAAAATGATATCATTGTCTGTATATTTATATGTACATTGTCCACAAACTTGAATTAACCTACTGTTCGTTTTTTCCGATTTGTAACGTTAAGTGATATTATTATTAACTTTGTGCAGTATATTTGCGAAGTGAAAAATTATTTAACAATGCATATGTAAGTACTTTTAGAAGTACTTTATATTTAATATTTTTTTTCAAGTTTTGCATTATTTTAAGCCTTTTCTGCAACACGTCTCCGATATTTCGGATTATTCCTTATATAGAAGTCATTCAAATTCTAAATGTCTAGCGAATAATTTTCATTCTTGCTTAAAAATTTCACTAAGTTTGAAAATTATGAAAATTAATTTAAGGAAAACAACTGTATATATACTCTCACAGGTTTACAAGCACACTGCGGATAACAGCTTTTACGATTATCATAATCCTTTTGGTTATTCATACGACCTTTATTGTCTCAGAGACATCAACGCCGACAAAGTTCATCAAAGAATTCGATGGTTATATGAGCGTTTGCCAGCGGGTTGGTTGGGGACCAAAGAAAGGTAATCATTTGTTGCAGCAACGCAGAACACTGACTTTTTATTTTGTACTCTAATTCTAATGCATTATTCTTTGTAGCTATTACTACGCTAAGTAAATGTAGGGTTTTATATTTTCTAATGTAAAAATAGAAGAATCTATGTCTCCAAGTTGATTCGAAACGCAAAAATGCTTTACGTAGAACAATTTCTAAAACAAGGCAAGATACTAACAGAGAAGAAGAGTAAAGAAAAACATCAACAGCCTCCTTTAAAGTCAACATTTCACAATTTCTAGATAGATATAATGACATTTTCAGCAAATACCGTTTTTCATTAAGTCAAATGCTGAATGAGGTTTTTCATACTAATTGTTAGGTGACTATTTACACACCGAATTTTTCTACGGATTTTCCGTTTTCCCGATCAACTCAAAGAGAACACGGCGGTTGTGACCTGTTGACTGGGGATACGTACTCCTCAATTGCATTTGATACCACCTCTGATGTTTTCAGAGACCTGTTTTTGCTGTGTTCCCGATTATTATTGCTTCAATAAACTTTTGAGCTTCATTACTGTTCGTTATCTCCATATATCAAGAAAAGAGCATGAACGCAGGATTTTCAGAAAGGAATTTTTAAAACGAGCATTTCAATCAAATATATTTTTGTTCACATTGTGACTAATGTCATTTGATATATTTGATAATGTAGGTTGTCCTTCAGCCAGCCATGTGATTGCTTTCCACGCCGCCATTAAATCTCATCTCAGTAACGTTCCCGTAAACACAATTATAAAGTTTGGGGATGTTTTACTGAATAAAGGAAACGGATATGATCCTAAAACAGGTGTTTTTACAGAACCAGAGGACGGTGTTTACTTCTTCGAGTGGACATTCATTTCAACCAGGAAATCAACAGTTTACGTAGAGGCAGTGGTAGACGGTGCACGGAAAGCATCGACCTGTGTGAATGATCAACAAAGTTATCATGTTAGTACCTCAGGTCACTTGCTTTATGAACTGAAGAAAGGAAACAAAGTCTGGATCAGAACATTTTATGTAAAGGCTGGATACATGCACGCTGACAAGTACACATATTTCTCGGGATACAAAATAAGCTACTTCTAGATTGCACGGAAGAACATCTACATATATATTTATAACAAAAGAGCATTTGTGAAGTCAAAGTCTATTTTTAAAATGCATGTTAAATGTTTGACTGTTTAAATATAATTGCAAATTAAATTTTGAAATAATTTCCGTTACTCGTTTTTATGAATACTTGGACATACACAAGCTATATATCAAAGTCAAAATAGTTTGCACTAAGTCTTATAACTTGTTGACGAACGCTTGCGGATATGGGTACCGATAAAAAATTTAGTATACCCTGATTCTGGAATGAAAATGCCTCAGTGAGAGTCAGCTACTAAAACATTTTCACAAAACTAAAAAAATATATATCTCTTAAACTCTCCCCGGTTTAACTCCTAAAATACCGTAAATGCTGAATCAAACCTTTAATCTCTCTAAAAGGAACACAATGTGCATTTAAATTGTGCTCAGCAGATCCGTAATACGAATGGTGGACAAGCATAACAACCTATTTATTTTGTTTTCTAGACATAAAGTAGGCATTTCAACTAATTTTTCAAGTTGCACATATGGTAAAAATCACTTTATAGATAGATCTGTAGGCACGTGAAATTCAAAAAAAAAAAAAAAAAAAAAAAAAAAAAAAAAAAAAAAAAAAAAAAAAAAGATAGTAAACTATACATACATTTAATTAAATCCCTACAAATTAATTATTAATATTTCATTTGCACGATGTTGTGTTTTAAGAACAGGTAACTGAAGTGTAAAAAACGACCAACAAAGTGCCGGTTAATGAGTTATTGTTTATAGGAATGACATATAGGCTGCTTCAGTTGGTATTGTTATGTACACAATAGGTTTCTTTATATTCTTCGGTACACAAAAGGGTTGACTAAAACAAGAGGAATGTCTTCACTCTCCATGAAATAACGGGATCAAATGAATGGGGAACGGACTATATTCAAGATTCTTAACTCTCTCTGACAGTTGGTATGTAGAAGAAAAATTAATACCAAGTATTTTACGTGTGCATTGTTGTGCTTCATCTATAAAAATTTATATTTCTACAGTTAAATACATCAATAATTTATCTTGTTCATTTTACAAAGCACGAAGAAGAAAGATCAAATATAATAATTTAATCACGTGAAAAGAAGGGGGTTGATTTCACTTTATATTTTTATTGAAAAATTCACTTATATATTATTGTGCAGTGTCGGTAACTACATGATAAATAAGTTAAACATTTGTGCTAAATTTTCAAACCACTGGATTCTGCTGATAGTGAAGAAACAATTGGAAAATGCTAAAACTTGGACATGCTTAGAAACAGTTAGCTTCCTCGGACCCACTGTAAACAAGATCCAGTAATGGGTTATCGTTCTTTTTATCGAACCCTAGCGGCAGTTGAAAGGCCTACATAATGCACAAAAATTGTCCGAAAAGAGAGATTAAACGTTTATGATACGAGGGGTGATCAAAAAGTTCGCGAACTATCTTTATATTTACAAAACCACAAATCCGATCGGAATGAAATTTGGCACACAAATATATAGTCGTACAAATGTTCTATAAAAAGCATATGATATGTGATTTTTTCCATGTTTGTGACGTCACAATGTGA